TCTGCTGCCTGCTGTGATAGGCTGCATCCCCTGACCCAGGAACAAGCTAAGCCTCCATTTACTTCTAGTGTTTCTGTCAGGCAGCTACTTAAAGCAGTAAGAAAAGTGACTCACAAAATATCTTTTAGTAACTATAGGTTATTTTAAACAAATAACAACTTTAACATCAATCACTAAAAAAAAAAATTACCCTACATTTTAACTCTATTTCCGTCCCTCCCACCCCCGTTTTCAATTTCTGATGTCTCTATTTACATCTCTTTGATATTAGTTATTGTAACTATCTTTGCTTTGTCTTTTAACATTCCCATCTGGAATATAAGTGGTTTATCTTACAATCCTGGTGTGGAGGGCTAGTTGGTTGGTCGGCTGGTTGGGTTTTTCAGGTGTGGGGTGTGTGGATTTTTACTTTGACCTGTGAGTTTTGCATCTTCAGATACTTTTGTGTTCCACATTAGTGTCCTTTTAATTTGAAGACTTCCCTTTGGCATTTTTGCTAGATGTGTCTTAACTGATGTTAATAAACTCCCTCGGCTTTCTTTTGTCTAAGAGAGTTACCTCTCTCCTTCCTTTCCAAGTTGCAGCTTTTCCAAGGATGGCACTCTTGGTTGGTGGTTTTCCCTTTCAACATTTTGGCAATATCACCCTGTCTCTCCTGGCCTGTAGGCTTCTGTGGTTGTATGACATGACTTCTTCCCTATGCTCCTCCTAGGGTTCTGCTTTGTCACGATATTAGGTAGTGTCTTTTTGTGTGACATGGGAGGTCCTCTTTGGGTTCTTTCTGAGTACAGGTAGGTGAACTTCCTTTGACTAAACATTGGCTTTTTCCTCAGATTATGGAAAATTCCTCTCGATACTTTAAAAATTACTTTATCTATTTAATTTTGAGACGGAGTCTCACTATGTAGACCTAGCTGTCCTGAAACTTGATAATGTAGACCAGGCTGGCCTTGAACTCACAGAGATCTGTCTGTCTCTGCTTCCTGGGTGTCGAGATTAAAAATGTGCAACCATCGCACTTGTCCTCATCCTAGATTTCTTTAAATATGCTTTTTGGCTCTACTTCTCTCTCTACTTTCTTTAATTCCTATTACACATAGATTAGGTCTCTTGATGGTAGCCTACAACTCCTATAAGCTTTCTTCATACTCCTCCCCCCCCCCCCCCCCCCCCCCCCCCCCCCCCGCCTCTCTCTGATACTGGACTGACCAATTTCAAATGTTCTGTCTTCAATCTCACTGTTCCTCATTTTGAGCTGCTAAAGCTTCTATTGCATTTTTACTTGGCTCATTATATAATTAATCCATTGTTTAGGTTCTCTCTCTCTCTCTCTCTCTCTCTCTCTCTCTCTCTCTCTCTCCCTCCCATTCTCTGCTGTCCCTTCTTTTCTTTCTTGATTGCTTTTGCAAAACTGTTTGTTTTATTCATGCATTATTTTCAAATTTCATTTTTCATCTATATATTCTTGGGTTCAGTGAATTTTTAAGAGATTTTGTGAATTCTCTTTTCTGATATGACATAGTTCTCCCTTTCTTTTGTGTCCATTGTTGTGATTTTATTGGAGGTTGTGATGATATACTGTCTTTGTTGTTTTGTTTTTGTTTTTGTTTTTTGAGACAGTGTTTCTCTATGTAGCACTGGCTGTCCTGGAAATCACCCTGTAGACCAGGCTGGCCTTGAACTTGGAGATTAGCCTGCCTCTGCCTCTGAAGTGCTGGGATTAAAGATGTGCACCACCACTGACTAGAGATCTACTGTCTTTGTAATTCTATGTTCCATCACTGGCCTCCATATTTGAAGCAGCAGCTACCTTGGCTTCTTTGGGCAGTTTGAAAACAGCAGCCTTCACTGCTTGTGTTATGATGGTGGCTCAGAGATTACTTTCAAGATCTCTAGATGGCTAGGTTGCTGCCTTTGCACTGGCTTTATTCTGCTTTCTGGCAAGACAATTGGTTGTGCTCTGTATTTAGGCTGAGCCACTGGGTGGGCAACTGCCACTAATCCACTAATCCACAGCATGCACTTCTGGCCACTGTGTTAGTCTTGTTACTCCCTTGGTGAGTCTGAAGGTGGCTTTTGGAGTCATGGGAAATACTGTTTAAACTCTCAGGCGCGGTAGAACCAGCACCTGTAATAGCTGTAATTCACAGCCTTGGTAGTGCTCCTCTCTTTGCTGCCACAGAAAGAACTGTTTAAATCCCCAGGTGCAGCAAACCAGCTCCTGGTTAGTAATTAAATAGCTTTGGTCTGATCCCACTCAGGGAAGGGTCTGGAGTGGTCTGTGTGGTCAGACGACACTGTTTATGCTCACAGAATTCACTGGAAGGGCTTTCCTGTCACTGGGCAGACTTGGACTATGGAGAGGGGCTATGTTAGAGTCTGGCCTTCTAGGGAAGTAAGGTTGGAAGAATACCCACCTCCTCTAGGACCCATCCCAGCTTTGCCAGTAGGCTACGTCATTACCTGGAGTAATGACAAACTGCCACTGCTGACAGACAAAGCTTCCACTCTAGCACCGCACTGGCCTCCTCAGTAGGCTCAGCTCTTTTCTGGTTTCTCTCTGGCTGCCATTTCCCCTCTAAGCTCCCCATGAACTGAGGACGGAGGGGGCTGCTCTGCAGTGTTTCTGAATGCGGGGGAGTGGCTGCTTTCCTGCTTCTCTCTTCTCCCTGGAAAGACCTTGGGTCCTAGTGACTTCTCTCTGGGGGGACAGTGTGCCTCCTGAGAGAGGAGGAGGGCAATGTGGTCCTAAGAAGACCACTTTTCTCACACTAGCAATGGAGGTGGAGGGTTTTTTTTGGGGGGGTTGTTTGTTTGTTTGGGTTTTTTGTTTGTTTTGGGGTTTGTTGTTGTTGTTGTTGTTGTTCAGCTCTGTGGAAAACAGAGGTGATCAGTCTTGATCCCATGCTTTGGGAATCCTGGTGATGTCACTCCACTCATTCCACTGACTTTAGGACTTCCACACTCTGCTACTTATTGTAAATACAAATTTGAAAGACTAGAAGTAATTTTTAGCATAAACTTTGGCACAATTAGGAAAATAGTATATTTACTTGCAAAAGCCAATGAAATATGAGAAATCTGTCTCTTTTAAAGGGCAACAAACTTCAGAAAAAATGCCGCATTAAATTCCTCCCAAGATATCACAGACAAGCCTAAGCAAGGGAAAGTTCCTTAGAAGACACTGAAGGCAAAATGCTATGCGCATTGCAGGAACAGCTACAGAAGCCCTGCAGCCAGCAAGCTCTCTATCCATCCTGGGAGGCGCTGCTACTGTGGCCCAGCCCTTGCTCATTGACGTGAGCCCTGAGTGCGGAACAGCTGTTCTTGCTGAAATGAAATGCTGTATTCTCAGGTTTATAACTAAAGTCCTGTCAATAGATGACAAAGTTCACATTCTAATCCCTTTCTTCCTTAGCTGAAGTCGCCAAGAGCAGAACAGGTCACACACATTAGCTTGTGATTTGCAGGACGTCTGGGACAGGGAAGAAAGCATGACAGGGCAATGGGAAAGGAGACGGAGTGCCTTTGACCCACAGAGGAAGTCTATGTCACATTCACCGATAAACACAGATATAACCCTGCACTGCAGAACATCTGTGCTGCAGTGTGTATATTTGTATATGTGTACATATAGATGCATGTGTATATGCATTATATAAACATGCACACACACTTTATGTATGGATGTGTATATGTGTAGCTGTGTGTATGTATATGTGTAACTGTGTGTATGTATACGCTACCATGTCAGCCAACATGAAAATCTTCAAACTATGTTCAACAAAAAGAAATGTAAACATGAGTTTTAGGATGTAATTTTTGAAGAGAATATAAAATACACATTGTGCTAAGCAACGTAGGAGTTGTTGTCAGATGAGACAGGAAGGGAATCAATAAGCTTATGTTTACAGTATCGTAAAAGAGTGATTTTTTCACGCAATCTAAGTCACTATGTTAAGCTTCTTATCCTGCATTTACTGTCCAGCAGACACAGAACTTCCCAGCCAGGAGGTCACTCTCCCAGGCCCCTTCTGCAAGATTCTGCCAGGAATCTTGGCTAGGAGTAGGGCCAGCAGGACTGCACATTCCTGGGCATGGGTCAGGGCTCGCCCTGACGGTCCTCCTTGTGCTCTGCCTATCTGCTGCTACAGCGAACTAGAAAGCAACAACAAATACAGAAATCTGGACTCTCCGGAGCACAGGATGCAGAGTTTAAGTAAGAGCTAGGACACAGACACAGGAGAGAGAACTCAAACAGGAAAAACTTACACTGACATATAGAAAAAATTGGGAAGGGCTTGTCTGGGCAAACCATCTGGATATCCAGTTAATAGATCTACAATCTAGAATCAACATGTTAACAAAACTGTTCCACAGACATGAAAGTGTTCAGATCTAATCAGGTAACCCAACAAACCTCTGTAGCTTGGGTTTTTATGAAACAATACACAAATAACTGTATAATATAATAATACATTTTGCATATAATACATAAACCAATTTTAAATTCTATAGCTGGATAGAGTACAAAACTTATTAATTTGGAGCCATGGGTCAAATCTGGCATACCATCTGCTTCATCAGAAAAGGCTTAGCTGGAATGAAGTCATGTTCACTCGTTGCTGTCTGCGGCAGTGTCCAGGCTGTACATTCAGAGCTGAGTAGTTATGACAGAGGCTAATAGGGCCCCAAAGCCTATAGCACTTACTATAGTCTGAGTGTCCTTCATCTGAAATTGCTGGATGTTCAGATTAGGGAAGCTCAATCTGCATGCGTTCTCTCACAGAGAAAAGTTGGCAGCCACACTCTGAATAGCCCCTGATCCTAAATATGAGGCCCTGCTGCTGAATCACATGGCTTAGAAGGCAGAAGGACCTCACCTGCTGAATAATGCAGACCTCTGTTACCAACTAACAGTGAAATGATGGAGCTGCAAAAGAGGTCCTCAGTGCGTGACAGTGCTGAGCAGTGGAGCCTGCCACGGTGGTTCTTCCTACCTGTTTTGTTGTCTTTGCAGACGGACTGTCATTGACATCAAGGACCTTTTCCCTCGTATGGCTACTTTTCAACTTTCCTGTCACAGGATGCTTAGGCTTCTCGTCTGTCTTGGTGTCCTCATCACTTTCTGGGTTATTTTTCCATTCTTTCATCATTTCTAATACATTTGTTGGTCTCACTGAAGAAAATGTATTGCCCTAATATTAAAAACAGATGTTTGTGTTATAAACAGTTCAGATAACTGAAAGATTCTTAAACATCTTTCTTACTAATATATTCTCCCCAAATCAGCAAGTTACACATAAAAATTATAAAGCTGAGCAAGTAGCAAAACTCTGGTGTCTGTTGGAGCACACTCCCTGTCCCACAGTGGCTAACTACCACATGGCATCACTTATGATATGAACAGGGTTAGAGAAAACCACTCTCAAGTCATGAAGGAATAAATGTAGTCTGTTTGTGCCAAGGTTACAACATGGCAATTCTGAGGCAGCCAAGACCTCTTTTGCACTGTTCTTAGGAAACTGGTAAGATACTATCCAAAAGCTAGGGGTCCAACACTAAAGGTGAGTCTACCCAACACCAAATGTCTAGGAAAAACACCCACACTCAGGTACTTAGGTAAACAGTATGTCAAAGAATATAGATCATTGACTTGAAAGCTCTTGCCTGGAATATTTCTATATAATGTGGCCATTTGGCTATAATTGACTCAGTGTGCTGTTTTTATCCCAGCTATGACCGTATCAAACCAAAATTGGCCATTATACACTATTTTCCAAATATCCCATCTAATGTGCCAAGACACACAGATGTAAGCTCAAATGGCTCCTGCTTGACTTAAATATTTTTTTATTCTAATTCTGGCTGTTAGAGAACATTTGGACAGGATGTTTGGATCACCTTTAGGTTAAAATGAGACCACAGGTATGTAGCAATTCTAAGCAGTCTTTGTACATAGGTAGATTTAAGTGTTATGCACTAATGACACAGAAAACCACAAGACTGAGCACATTAAGGGCAGCCATCTGAATACACTGTGGAGGATTTATTGAGTTTAATATAGTCATGGTTAAAAATAGATCAGCATCAAGAACAGAATAGTAATAACAAGAGATCATTAGGAGACTGAGTCCCAAGCTCTTCTATTCTGCCCTTACCTTTTCCCTAGCATCTGAGTACTCTACACTGGCTGTACTCATTTCTCCTCTGCCCCCTAATTTATCATCCCTTTCTGACAACCATGGCCTATACTGCCTTCAAGGCCCAATTTAAAAGTCATCTCTATTAGGTGTCCTAGAACTGGGAGCATACACAGGGCTAAAGTAGCAGCCATGGGAGTCTAGAGCCATCTAAAATGCTTGATCGTCTCAGAGCTCACTGATCTGAGTCCTGATCTCCAAGGCTTGCAACTTCTCAGCTTCATCCTGACTTCTGTCAGAATTCACAGTACCCAGGCTCCTAGACTTTGGATATACACATCTTGGGCTCAATTTAATTCTCTCATTAGCAAAGATATAATCTGACATTTTGCATTGAGTCTGTAACCTCAGTCCTGTTCAAATAAATGTCCCCAGGTTAACTCTTGGATACTGTGGATTTCACATTTCTACCCTCTTTGAAGAATTTGTGACTTTGTCAGAATAAATATATCACTTTTAGGTGACACATTTTTGGGAGTTCCTACATAGTCCATCATGCTCATAGTCCATCCCAGTTCCTACTATGTTCCTACAAAGATCTAGAGCCTCTCTTAGTCAGATCCCTGATTAAGAATGCAGCAACTCTTACTCATGCCAGGCAATTTTCAATGGAAGATGCTAAGCATTGGGACTTAGAAGTCATTCTTTATCACAGGACATGCAGCCTATCCTGATAGGGAGAACAAAGGAAATGCTACACCTGCAAGTCACCTCTAAGACGCCTTAGCAAGATGAGCCTGTCTACACTTGACTATGCCCAAACAAACGACAGTCACAGTGGAGTTCATATGTGATATGCGTAATGTGACAGCAGTTTATTATAGCACTCTTTGCTTTGCAAAGTCCTGATAAGCATATATTTAGTTATCATGATTTAACTAACAACATCAGTCCCTCAAGAGCACGGCTCAAACTTCACACACCATGTTATATTAAACATTATTATAAAAATTGCAAACCTCACTGCTGGCTTTGCAGCCCACACCAAACAGATGCCCATTATGATCGATGACCAGCTGGGTCACTTCTTTCAAAGTGTATTGGTTCCTAGATACTAAGTATCTGATGGTCTGTTCATCCATGGTCTCCTTCTCTCCAAGGAATTAGTCAACAAAGATAAAAGTGCAGCAAAGACAAGAAAATGTTGATACTAGAAGTAAAATTTGAATCAAACGGAGTGTAATAACAGAAGAAATAGTTTGTAATGGGGACCCTGACACTCCTTCATTTGCATACAGTCAAAGGAAGTAGTATAGGCAAATTTGACAAGTGAAGGGGTGTACCAGAAAGGATGGAAATATTGCTGAGGAAGGATGCCTGCAAAGAACTCTCAGAGGTGTCTCATGACATAGAAGGCACAATAATACAATGCTGGAAGCAGATCAAAATTGGCAAACAGTGGGCAAGTTTGCTGGACACAACACTGACCCTCATTCCATAAAGTCACTGCTAGGGCAAGAAGGTAGGACTACAAAAACCAATCTTGGTAATGTTTACCATGGTGTTAGCAACAACACCACCAATCTTGCTGCCTTCCTATTTCTAACATTCTATAATGTGCTACATGAACATTGCCCTGAATTTATTTCACCTTTATGTATGTCTGCAATGAGCAGAGAGTTTTCATATTTAGGGTTTTAACAGAGACGTTTGGACATAGATTTTTCTTAATTATTAAAGTCTATTTTGCGGAGTATCACCCTGTGCTGTCATTTTACATTCTTGCATTATCATGTAGAGTAAAGATTGCCTATGTTATCTTAAGCCTGTATCTCTAGCAAGCTTTAAGTGTCCACCTATAGGATCACCTATAAGCCTACCCAAGAGCTCAGTAGCTAACACTGTGTGGTGAGAGTGCCATTGTACTCAAAGAAATTGCCCTATTTCTCAAACCAAAGAGATTGTGAGGAAGAGAAAGGGATCTAAAATAGAATCATCACAAACACTCCACCACTTGGAAAGTTAACTCTTGGCTTACTGTACTCACTTGTGCTAGCAAGCTTAGACTCTGCTACATTGGAAAGTGGAGTCCATGCAGTCCATGTCTAAAACCCACTCACAGGCTACCCACTTCCTGTTTTTTTAGCAGTTGAAGGAGAAATTGCATCTGATACTTGGACTAACCAGTAAGTAATGGCCTATAGCTATGAGCCTTTCAGTCTAACAAATTATAAATGAACTAACCAACTAAAGAAACAAACAAAAATGGGCTAGAACTGCCAGCAGGCACTAGATGACATGTCACCTCAGCACAAGGACGCTAGCCTTGGAACTCCCTTTGCTGGCTGAATCCAGGTCAGACACTGAACTCTTCACTTCCAAGGTAGCAGTGACCATTTGTTAACTGGAGGCTGCCCCAAGTAGAGGCCTTTTTGGTTAGAGCATTTCCATTGCATAGCCAACAGGTAGTTGAGGCTAATATGTTTTAGTATGGGAAAATTAGGCAGGGGTGTGTACTCACGGAGAAGCAAGAGTCAAGTGCTAAGACTTTGAGTCTTTGCCTTAGTGGATAGCCCCACAAATGGAGACTTAGTGATATTTTCTCATCTAATGAAGTCTGACTTTCCAAGCATGCCTGTCAATATTCTGTAAATAATACATGCTTAATAAGTGTTTTTCATGAACTAGACATGTGAGGGAGGGTAAGACCCCAGAAAATAAAACTGGCAGAGCTGAAGAACACTCTGGAACTTTAGCTTATCATCAGCCTCTACTTTTGAAAACAGCTAGGACATTTCCATTGGTGATGCTACTAGGAATAAATTTTTCAACAAAAAATGGAACACTTTATTAAAAAATAAAAGGATACTCAACTTTGCAAAATAGTAAAGCCCAATCCAAAAACCGAGGTGCTGATTTTTATACAGCAATGTGAATAAATTAAAATGTGATAACCTGCATTCATGAGGGTATAGTCAAACTGCTGTGGGATGGTCTGTATGTCAAATGTGTTGCTCTGATTGGTCAATAAATAAAACACTGATTGGCCAGTAGCCAGACAGGAAGTAGGCAGGACTAACAGAGAGGAGAATTGAGAGAACAGGAAGGCGGAGGGAGACACTGCCAGCCACAGCCATGACAAGCAGCATGTGAAGATGCCGGTAAGCCATGAGTTACATGGCAAGGTATAGATTTATAGAAATGGATTAATTTAAGATGTAAGAACTAGATAGCTAGAAGCCTGAGCCATTAGGCCAAACAGTTTAAATAATATAAGCGTCTGTGTGTTTATTTTATAAGTGGGCTGTCGGACTGCCGGGGCTTGGCAGGACCCGGAGAGAAAACTCTCCAGCTACATCAAATTCTATTTCTTTCTTTAAAGATTTATTTTTGGTGTGTGTGTGTGTGTGTGTGTGTGTGTGTGTGTGTGTGTGTGTGTGTTCAGGTTTCCAGGGTCCAGCAGGAAACTTCCAGGGTACTGGAGTCCTGGGAGCTAGAGTTACAGGTGGCTGTGAGTTGCCCAATGTGGGGGCTGTATAAGCACTCTTAACTGCTGAGTCCTCTCTCCAGACCCAAGGAGTCATATTTACCTCCTTCCTATAGCAGGTAAATTATTGATAGCCTATCAAGATGTGTAACATATAGTCTCTCTGACCAGCGATTCTAACATTCAGAATTTATTTTATGGATATGCGAACATAATGCACAAAACTATATTTACAAGAACATTTATTGAGCCAATGATTTTAACAGGAAAGACCTAAAACAATTCACATATTTAATATATATAGGGAGAATTTTACAAAATAATAGAACATCCATATTTTGAGATACAACAGTGTACTTTTTCTTAAGAGAATCTCCCCAATATATACTAAGTGAAAAAGAGCAGTTTACAGACTATGAACCTATTTGTGTAATGTGAGAGGGAAGAGGGTAGAATGTTAGTTTTCCTGTTTTGTTCACTATTTAAACCATTTACCATGGACAATCCCATGGATTCCATAGAACTAATTAGCAACATAAGCAGCAGGAAGAAGCATGTGTAAACTGTA